TCAAGGACCATGTAGAAGATGGGAACGTAGAAGTACATTTTGTTCGGTCCTCTGATCAACTGGCTGACATATTCACTAAAGTCTTACGTGAAGCAAGCTTCAATAAAATTTTACAAGGCTTGGGAATGATGGAAGCAGAGTCGGTACCGAAATAGAACGAACGCTCGGTCTATTTCGGTTCCGGATTTTTCGGGAACCGAAATGAACCGAACGCTCGGTCCATTTCGGCTCTGGAATTTTAAGGAACCGAAATGAACCGAACGCTCGGTCCATTTCGGCTCTGGATTTTAAGGAACCGAAATGAACCGAACGCTCGGTCCATTTCGGCTCTTGGAATTTTCAGGAACCGAAATGAACCGAACGCTCGGCTTATTTCGTTTCATTCTTTTAAGGTAAGGTTTCGGTTGCACATTTTGTTTGTTCTTTTAACTCTATTTTTCTTAGTTTTTTTAGAGTGTTTTGTGCTACTTTATTTTTCTATTTCTGTTTTTATTATTTTTCAGAAAACTTCAAAAATCCAAAAATATTTTCTTTTTCTGTTTTTATTATTTTTCAGAAAATCTCAAAACTTCAAAAATATTTTTCTCAACATTATTTTTTTGTTTGGTTTGTTTGTTTGTTTTGTTTGTGTGGTGTGTTTGTTTGCTTGTTCTTTTAAATAGGTCCCAAGTATACCAGTACAACAAAATTTGGATCTAAGGCAGGTACGATTATTTTTATCTGAACTAGTTAAGGGTCCCTAGAAGCATGCTGTTGCATTTTGACCAAAGCCTATACGACTAAGAGCAAAGCCTTAATGATTCGATCTATACCTATCGTTTCTTCCCAATTAGGCTGTTATAATCAACTCAAGTCCAGAGCTACCTTCCTCTTCTCAAATGAGTTAAGAGTTTTCTGCTTTATCATGACTATATAGCAGAGGTACTTTCGGTTCTTTAACCATCCTCCTTACATTCTCCATCAACTTTCGGTTCACCACTGTAACCCTTGAGACTCTCGGTCTTTACCACTAAGGTTTATGGTTGCATAAAATCTGTGTTTGTGATCTTAGATACGTATACCACGTGCTGAGTGAAACCCAAAATCCAACACCTACAATGAATTGACGGTGAATTGTTATATTCAAGATCTTACTGGTTACCTACTGAAATCTCATTTTATTTTTTGAGTGGTCTTTTTATGAAATTGTCTTACACTAAGGCTTTTCTTCCCAAAAAGATCCAGTTTGTTTTTGTTTTGAGATTTCTATCACTTCTTCAGTCACTATAAATCATATCCAACCTACTTGTTCAACAGACCACATCGGTCTCACAAGTACTTCTTCCAACGTTCGGTCTTATTTTAAGAATCGATGTTCGGTTGAAGATAAGCTACCCTTAGCCTTTAAATTAAAAGAAGCCTTTCAATGTTTCTCTACAAACACTTGATCGTATTTTCTCGGGAAACCACACAAGCACTTCAAGTCTCTCATGACTTTGAAGGAAGCGATTCTTGCCCGGAATCATCTGATTTATGTCTTTCAACAGACATCACTCACATCCAATACACATTTTGCTTTATTTATTTATCTTTTGTCACCCTAATGCACGAAAATTTTTATTTTCCAACATTCTGGTTGCTGTTGGTTCGATTTTTGTTTATCTTTTGGAACAACAGGGGTTATCCTGAATTTTGGAGCGAAGCTGAATTTCAAACGACGAATTAAGGATAAGATTTTGAGAGCGTGAATTTGAACGGTTACTAAAACCACGCGTGCTGACGTATACCTGGGAGAAACCACCCTGTCACATCGCGCTTTTTCAGGCGACGTTTCAGTGATCGCGTCATTATCATGATGATTTTTCTCTCTCCTGGCAACGGTATATAAAGGGTTTCTAATATTATTTGTCTTTTACCAGCAACAAATTCTCTCAGTATACACGACGATTCACAACTGTTCATCTTCCTTCTTCAATCAACAATAGCGACTTCTTCATCGGCTCACGATCAAACTGCTTCGTCTACATTGCTCTCGATCAAGCCAAATCAGAATATGATCATTGAACTCAATCCTTTTCTGTACGATTCGTATATGCTTCAAGTGGTTGAGTGTTTGAAGTATTCACCTCTGGTTCTAGTCCTAACACAGATGGAATCCGTCCCTATGTCACTCCTATCACAGGTTTACACTACTGCTTCCTATGACAAGAACAAGGAGAGAATCTACTTCCAAATCTTTTCTCACAAGGCTTCTATTTCAAAAGTGAGATTTTGTTCACAATTTCAACTTGCTGTAGATTCGTCCGTAATCTCACCGGACTTCATCACCACGACTCAACTGTTCTCGATGCTCTACGAGATGGGCTACACTGATGTGCTTACCACGGTTACGAAGGTTAAGAAGTCATGTTTACCGCCCCAATGGAATGGAATGTTAACTCTTCTCATCAAAAGTTTGGCGGAGAGGAGTGGTGGATCTGATGGTACCAGCAAGGGTTTTCTGACCCTTCTATACGTAATTTATAATGGGATAAATCTCGACTATGGGTCGATTATCTGGTCCCAAGTGGTGCAAAGCCTCAACACTTCCACGAGGCATTCTGAAATTTTGTGTGCTCGGTTATGGACTATCATTACACGAAGGGCGCTTAATACTTTGCAGATTCTGGTAATGAAGGATGCCTTAGTCGCGTCTGTAGCTACGTTTCACACCAAGAAAATCATAATTTCTGATCCTACAAAGTTCCCTCACAATGGCTCTATACCAGAGACAATGTACAGGTGTGTCTCAGCCGAGAGTAAGGTCATGGCTGATTATCGCAAGATTCCTCCCAAGGAACCGAGAGTCTTATCTCCTGAACAGCAGGCTGCCTTGGATGCTGTGGAGAAGCCTGGAAACCGAGGAAGAAGGGCTACTACCAAGAAAGGGACAACCGAGGATGATAAGTCTAAGTCTGCTAAGTCCAGCAAAGCGAAAGTCTGATAAAGGGGATTCTTCTAAGCCAAAGAAGATTAAGAAGATGGCGAAGAAATCCAAGAGTCCCACTCCTTCCAGTTCAGAAAATGATGAGGAGGATGAAGAAGAGAAAATTCATCATGAATCACCGAGAGGTAACACCCCTCCCTGATCCCCTACTCCAACCGAACCTATTCATGACAAACTTCCAACACCACCTCCATCGCCGAAACCGACAGTTCCAATTTCGGTTGCTCTTATTCCACCGCCTACCACATCTTAAACAACAACTTCTCTACCACCACCACCAGTTACTAACATTCCTATTTCTACAACTCCCTTACCACCTCCTATAATTTCCCAATCCACTACCACCACTATTCCTGAACCGACAGTAAGAGTCAACATATCTAATATGGGGGCGACTACTGAAACCGAACCTCCAGTTATTTCCAAACCACTTTCACCCTCACCTTCAACTGATTCCGGTGCCACTCTCGGTGGTGCTAATTATGAGTTTGATTCGACCTACTACAGTCCCTATACGCTTCCTACAGATGATGATGATGAAGCTCCAGTCACGAGACAACACTTGCAAAGCATTGATGAGAAACTTGATAAATTGCTTGATGCCAACAAGTCATACAATGATGTTGTGCTCAAAGCTTTCATGGATACTGCTCTTGAGCAATACACTGAGTCAATTGACAAATCCACAAAGGTTGTTAATGAGTCTACTTCTTCTTGCAAGAAGGCCACTACTGATGTTGCTGACATTGTTCATACTACTCAGATCTTTCTCGAGTCACTCAAAGGGCATGCTGATACAAATGCAGCCAAGGTGAATGCTTCTGTGGATTCCTTATCCAAGTCACTTAAAGAGGAGCAAACAAAGTTTGAGGCTGTTCGTTCTTCAAAAAAGCAGAGAACACTTCACTAAACAGTTCTGTGAATTCTCGTCTTGAATCTCTTCACGCTGATTTAGCAAAGGAGAGTGCTCTAAAGGAAGATCTTGCACGCCAAGCCTCAACAATTGAAGTTCAGAAGGTGCAGCTTGCTCATGCTGAAAAGGAAATCTCTTTGTTGAAGACTGAAAGAGCTGTCTTTCGTAGCTGTGCTGGGGATGTCAAGGATTTTCTGACCAACCTCCTTGGTGCTCATGATCCTATTCTTACTCTCACTATCAGAAATCATCTAACTTCAAAACTTCTTCCTGCCCTCGCATTGTTACACGAGATGAAGGGTGTTTCGGAGAGATTCATACCTCCAAAACAAGGGGGAGAAGGTGCTCACCCGAAGGTTACTGTTAAAACTGAAACCAAATCTGCTCAACCGAAAGTCAAAGATTCAACCAAACCGAAGGGTAATGAAGCTTTGGGTTCTGGTTCTCAAGCCAAGAAGAAGGGGATTGATGATGACAGTGATGACGATGTTGAAGAGACTATTGCTGAGGCTCCTAAAAGAAAGAAGAGGGACAGAGAGTTGGATGAAACCTTAAAGGTTGCGAGGGAGGCTGAGGAAAGGGAAAGGAGGAACAAGGAAGAAGAAGAAGCCTTAAACTGCAAGAAGGCCTTGTTTCCCCTCTGGACAAAAGAGACACTTATCAATGAGGCAATAGAGTTTCCAAGCGTCTACTGGCTGGAACATGTCGCTTCGTTTGATTGTGACAATTCTAAGGACTCACAGTTCGACATGCCAATAACACGAAAGGCATTCACATTTCATTGTTTCGACTCGACTGTTGAAGTTCCTTTCCCACATCCAAAAGTTGATTGTGAGCTTATCGACTTTTATCTGAAGTATGGTCAACCGCAGTACTTGACATGGAGCGCACAGAAGATTGTTACTGTCAAGGTACTCAAACCTTCGCCTGCTGGGAAGTTCATAAATGTTAATTTCAAAATCACACAAGGATCAGCAAACTCGGTGTCGATTACTTCCCTGGCAGACCTTCCGAATTTAAATCCTCATGATTGGATCCTATTGTTTAACATTCTGCTCACCAATCCGAAAGAATATGAGCCGATACTGGATCATTTGAAAAGGATGTTGGCCTCCTACATCCATGAGGTTGCTGCTATGGATCAGGAGATAGCGAAAGTAATGAACAAGAAACCAACTGTCAAGCCAACACCGAAACCAGGAGATGTGAACAAAATGAAGATAAGCCAAATCGATACTACACATCTTACTGTAATGTTTACAAGAGGCGAAGCCAACCGATTTCTATTCGCTCTTGTTGATAAACACCTGTTTTCAACAGACTGCTGGGAGCACATCATTAATATCATTCATCGGTGCAAGCAGAATTCAGAAGCAGATAAGAAGAACTTCACGGACATGCTTCGGTAGTACATAATGTTTCGTCATCATCTATTGGCCATCATACCGAAGGTGTTCAAGACAATCAAGAAGTCTTCTGCAGCTCAACCAAAGTGAGCTTTCGGCTCCATTGACGCAAAGGGGGAGATTGTTGGGTCTTATTGTGTTGCGTCATGGGCTTGTGTTTTGTATCCGGATTGGGCCTGTCCATCCGTGATTATCTAGTAGGGTTATACTATAAATAATGCATGCATGTATGCATTAGTAACGTAGTGATTATTGATTATTGTTTTTGTAACCCTAAACACCTCTACAGTCGAAGTTCTTAATCGAGCTCTTCTGAAGTGTTGAAGTTTTAATCATACGACATCTTCAAATCCATTCTTGTGTTCATAATTATGTTCTTAATTGTTTGCCTACATAGAATCTATCGATCCTAATAGAACTTTGTTCTAATAATAAACATATATTATAGCTTATTGGGCTTACATTTGGGCCTCACGGGTTTTTGGGCCCAAAATTGCAAAAAATGAAGAGTTTTGGGGTCTGAAGCTGTAAATTTATCAAAATATGAGTCTAAAATGTAAATAAACTATTTCAGGGGCTGAAAATGAGTTTGATGCAAAAATTTGACTAAAAATGCAATGTTTTTGATTTTGGGGTCAAAATTGTAAAACTTACGGAATTTGAGCCAAAAGTGTAAACATTTTACAAATAAGGACTGGAAATGGCAAATACAATAGTTTTGGGCTGAAATTATTATTTAAATAAAGTTTTGGTCGAAAATGTCAAGAAAAATGGTTTAAGGACCAAAAATGTCAATTTTCATAAAAAGGGACTAAAAGTGCCATTTTTATAGATAAAGGGGTTGGAATGGTCAAAATAAATATTTTTGGGCCAAATAGGCTAATATTAAATTATTGGGTTAAAAATATTAAGTTTATAATGCATGGTTTTTAAAAATGTTTATATATATATATATATATATATATATATATATATATATATATATATATATATATATATATATATATATATATATATATATAAAAGATAGGATCATACCTAGTCGTCATGCTGGCCAGTTGCCAGGAAACGCTGAAACTCATTGTTATAGCCACTTTGGATAAGCTTAGTATCTAGTGTTACTATGCCCAAGTTTTTGGCTACGTGAAACACACACACACATACACACACACACTATATATATATATATATATATATATATATATATATATATATATATATATATATATATCAAATAAATAATGTATATAAGTAAACCGTATAAATCCAACACGAATAACAACACGAACGACTAGGGGAGACCCCCACGACAAGAGTTAGCTGAGACACAATTCATCAACACGCTTGTAAATTTTCAGCTAGCACCCGACCTGTAATCGTTAATTCTTAAGTGAGAGAGAGAGGTATGTATAGATCTATACGGGATTGACACTTCCACCTGTGGTTGCTTGCTACAACCCGATGGCAAGTCGAAGTAGGCCTAACTTTCTGAACACATCGACGTCCGATGAATCATCGTGGTATTTCTTTTGGGATCAACAGTCATAACTCGATTATAGGAACTCATCGTAACTTTATCAAACTAAAACGAGTTATCATAAACTACTACTAGGAACTAATCCTACTAGGTAGTGATAGTACACACAAACTCGAGGAAGTGATTTTAGGTCAACCAACATCGACTATCTTAGAATACCACTAGGAACCTATTAATAGAAGTAGTGATAGTAATCAAAAACATAAGGAAGTGAGTTTAGGATAAACAAAACAACTAAAATACCTACAGAAGTTTAATAACAATAAAACCTGTAGACTCACCAACATTATGTTGACCTCTCAAACCACATGTATTCTAAAGAGAATGAACCCCGTTGATGCAGTCAGAAACTTGATGATTCAGTTGATACCCTGGAGGACGGTGATGACTCGGAGCCTGATTATACTCCCGTTGAGCACCCTTCAGAGGCAACCCTATCACCCGACTACACATCGGTTGTGCTAGAGCTTCTTACTTCCGATTATGAGACCGATGAGGATGAGGAGGATACTGCCACCTCACCAGAGACCTCACCACCCTTCCCCACTCCTTTAAATTGGTCTCACAGGACATTGACGGGTACTCTGGTGAAGCACACGCCGAGGAAGGTTGCTGCCACACCCTCACGGAAGAAGGTAGCGTCCCCACCAGCATCACCACCGACAGCTAAGAAATCCTGCGGAGATGCTGTTTCGATGTCCCAGATTCAGGGTACAAGAGGAGGCTATCAGATCACGATTCGAGGTGGGAGAGTCATCCACTGCACCCCTACCCCGGACACCCTTGTGGAGCAGGCCATCTCTCTTCTGGTGCCCTACACCGTCCATCACTCAGACATTATTGGAGTTATGGACATTAAGCTCTTCTTATTGAGGATGGCCTTGATTCAGCTCACGGAGAGGGTAAAATAGTTGGAGGAGGAAAGGGACGTAATGGAAATGCAGACCTTAGTCGTCCACTGCACCCCTACCCCGGACACCCTTGTGGAGCAGGCCATCTTTCTTCTGGTGCCCTACACCGTCCATCACTCAGACATTATTGGAGTTATGGACATTAAGCTCTTCTTATTGAGGATGGCCTTGATTCAGCTCACGGAGAGGGTAAAATAGTTGGAGGAGGAAAGGGACGTAATGGAAATGCAGACCGTAGTCGTAAAGGATCACCTACAGGAGGCACAAGATGATGCCCCATTCCATCGTCTGGTCCTAGAGGAGGTGATTAGCCATGCAGATCGATTAGAGCTCCAGGTGGAGAGAGTAGAGTCTCGAGTCTTTCTTTCTAATATCTGGCTAGAGTTTGTATATAGAAAGTTAGTCCAGCTGATGGCACTTCTTATAGTGTATTGTGGTTTTTAGTTTTCTTTTGTTTTGACCCTAGCATGGTAGCTAGGAGTGATATGGATACTTTTCTTTTGGGTTAGGGTAATAGGAAAAGCCCACACATGTATGATTTGTAATCGCAAGGCTTTTCCTACCCTAACCACACTCTGTTTTGTTGACTACGGCATGATATATATATGATACACATTATACATACCTAGTTGCATGAAATATGTGTTGTTATTGTTGTTCCCATTAACATCAACACTAACACACCACAATGTAACCATGAGAGTACGAACTTGCTAATTCCTACAAATTAACTCACGTCTTCACACTAACTTTAGGAATCTAGAAATGGCACCCCTGAGAATTACCAGATCTAGCCAAGGTCTTCAAGATGAGCAGGATGCTCAGTCAGCACAAAGTAACCCACCCCTGGAGCACACATCTTTTAAGGAAATGGTCGAACGAGGAATAGTTGAGGCACTAGCCGCACATGGAAATCATACAAACTCTAGAATGGGAGGAGAAGGCTCCCATGGAAATGAGAAAGGTGCACTAAAATCATGCACCTTCAAAGATTTCATGAACTATAAACCCAATACGTTATATGGGAATGAGGGAGTTGTAGGACTCACCATGAGGATTGAGAAGAAGGAGTCTATCTTCGAGATGAGCTCATGTGCTGAGGAAAGCAAGGTTAAGTTTCCCGCCTGCACATATGCAGATGTGGCTAAGTCTTGGTGGAATGGCCACGTCAAGACTCTAGGCCTCACCAATACCAAAGCGTTGTCTTGGGAGCCATTGAAACAAATGCTCATTGATGAGCACTGTCCTCGGGAAGAGATGAAACAACTAGAGCAATAACTATGGAACCTAACCATGAGCATGCTGACATATCGACCTACACCAACAGGTTTCAATGACCTTCGCTACCCTTTGCCCAAAGTTTGTGACCGCTAAGTACAAGAAATTATAAATATACATTTGGGGATTGGTTCAACCCATCCCAAGGTCGAGGCACGTTGATCCAGAAGAGCGACATCCCAAGGACGAGGGAAAACAAGCGCAAATCTAGAAACAGATTCCAAGGTACCTCCAAACAATCTCTCAGCAAGATACAGAAAATTGTCAGGGCTTACGCCATCAATCTGGCCCCGAAAATAGTCATCGCCCCTACATCTGAAGGACAGTATGCAGGAAAGCACCCGAAGTGCAATTTGTGTCACTTCCACCACTCTGTAAATAGCATGCACTACAACAAGTTCAATCACAGAGGACATACTGGGAAATACCGCCGCCAGCCCACGACTACTCCAACTGTCACAACAACCCACGCATGGCTGCACTGCCAGATAATAGAGCCTTCTTTGAATGTGGAATTGTTTGGCACCTCAAAAGGAACTGCCCAAGGCCGAGGAACAAGGGAGGAAACGCTAGAGGAGGAATGTTTGTTATTGGCACGAATGATGCCATCCAGGACCCCATCGTTGTGACAGGTACATTTCCTGTTAACGGTTTATGCGCATCTTTACTCTTTGATTCTGGTGCTGAAAGAAGCTTCAATACACCTATGTTTAGGAAAATTTTAAGCAATAAGTCTAGAAACTTAGATGAGTCGTACATAGTAGAAATGGCTAATGGAGAATCCCAAAACACTCATGAAATATCAGAAAACTACCTTTTAACTGTCAATAACCATTTTTTTCACGTCAACCTCATGCGGATGACCATCAGTAGCTTCAATATCATAATCGGCATGGATTGGTTATCGCCATATCGAGCTAATATATTATGCTATGAAAAGGTACTATGACTACCCTTACCCAACGGGGAATCCTTAATAATCTACGGAGATAAGATCAACAAAGGCCTTAGAATCATCTCTTGCATGAAGGCATAGAAGTACATTCACAACAAATATCATGTTTTCTTAGCCCAGATCACAGATAAGAGGGGTGAGAAGAATGAAATGAAGGACATACCCCAAGTATGTGATCGTTGTATTTCTGGAGAAGTTCCCCAGACTACCGCCAATTCGTGAAGTCGAATTTCGAATTGACCTAGTCCTAGGGGTAGCTACAGTGGCAAAATCACCCTACCGATTAGCCCCTTCGTAAATTCAAGACTTGTCTAGTCAACTCCAAAAGATTTTGGATAAAGGCTATATAAGACGGAGTTTCTCACCCTGGGGAGCCCCTGTGCTATTCTTCAAAAAGGACGGAACCTTCTGAATGTCCATCTACTACCGAGAACTGAATAAGTTGAAAATCAAGAATAGATATCCACACCCTAGGATTGACGATCTGTCTGATCAACTACAAGGATCCAGCTTCTACTCAAAAATTGATTTAAGGTTCGGATACCATCAACTTAAGGTGCAAGAGGAAGACATTCCCAATATGGTATTAAGAACTCGTTATCGTCACTACGAGTTCCTAGTTATGCCTTTTGGCTTAACAATTACACCAGTAGCCTTCATGGATCTAATGAACCGTGTCTGTAAACCATACATTGACAAATTCGGGATAATATTCATCGATTATATAATGATATACTCGCGGACAAAGGAAGAACACGATCAACACCTTCGAATCATTTTGTAGTTGTTGAGGAAGTAGAAATTGTATGCAAAATTATTGAAGTGTGAATTTTGGATCAGAGAAGTACATTTCCTAGGACACGTGGTCAACGATAAGGGCATTCACATAGATCCCTCCAAGATCATATCCATAAAGAATTGGGAAGCACGTAGAACACCAACATAGGTGCGCCAATTTCTAGGCTTGGCAGGCTGTTACAGGAGATTTATAGAAAATTTATCAAAATTAGAAAAATCAATCACGAAACTTACACATAAAGATACAAAGTTCGAATGTCAAGAATAACAAAAATATGCATTTCAGAAGTTGAAACATGTGCTGTGTAGTGTGCCAATTCTTTCACTTTTGGAAGGAAGCAATTTTTTTGTCTATTGCGACACATCACATCAAGGCATTGGATGCGTACTTATGCAAAGAGAAAAAGTGATTGCTTACGCCTCGCACCAAATCAAGACTCACGGGAACAATTACACCACCCATGACATGGAATTAGGAGCTGTAAAATTTTCCTTACAGATCTGGCGACACTACTTCTATGGCACAAAGTGTGTCATATACATGGAACACAAGAATATTCAACGCATCTTAAACTAAAAGGAACTCAACATGAGGTATCGAAGATGGCTTTAACTGCTGAACGACTATGAGTGTGAGATTTGATACCACCCGGGAAAGGATAACGTAGTAGCTGATGCCCTAAGCAAAAAGGAAGGAGTCAAACCTCGCAGAGTGAAAGCACTCACTCTAACTATCCAATCAAACCGTCCATCCCATATTTGATAAGTCCAAGAAAAGGCACCTAGGGTAGTGAACAAAACAAAAGAATTCATGCAGGCATGGAGAAATAATTCGAGTCTAAAGAAAATGGAACCTTGTGTTTCATGGACCGAATTTGGATACGAAAATATGGTGACATCAGGAGTATGGTACTGGACGAAGCTCACAAGACAAGACCCTTAGTTCACCCAGGAGCTGATAAGATGTATCTTAAATTAAAGAAAAGGTAATGGTGGCCTAACTTAAAGTTAGCAATCCCCACCTACGTGAAAAAATGCTTGACATGCACTAAGGTCAAGGAAGAATACCAAAAACCATCGGGACTACTGCAACAACCCGAAGTTGCCATGGACTTCATCACAAAACTACCTAAGACGCCCAATATTTACGACACGATTGGGGTAACGATCGATCGTCTGAATAAGTCCACCCATTTCCTACCCATTAAGGAAACGAATAATATGGAGAAGTTATCCAAGACTTATCTCAAGGAAATAGTACGACTACACGAGATACCAACATCAATCATATATGACACAGACAGCCGATTTATATCCCGGTTTTGGCAAACAATGCAACAAGCATTAGGAACCTGACTCGATATGAGTAATGCCTATTACCCGTAGACTGATGGTCAAAGCGAAAGGACCATACAAACCTTGGAAGATATGCTCAGAGCATGTGTGATAGACTTTGGCAAGCATAAAGGTTGCACCATTTGAAGTATTATATGGGAGAAAATGTTGTTCACCATTGTGTTGGGCAGAAGTGGGTGATACCTAACTAGCAAAGAAAAACGCAGGGAACACATTCCTAACTGGACCTGAGATTATTCACGAAACAACCGACAAGATCGTGAAAATTAAGTAACAGTTGAGAACGACTAGTGATCGTCAAAAGAAATACGTTGAATATCGAAGAAAGACACTTGAATTTCAAGTTGAAGATAGAGTCCTTCTAAGGGTATCCTTGGAAATGAATTATAAGATTTGGTAAGAGAGGCAAACTCAATCCAAGATACATAGGACCTTTTGAGATCCTTGCCAATATAGGTCCAGTAGCCTACCAAACCGCTCTACCCCAAAAGCTCAACAATGTACACAATGTCTTCACGTTTCAAAACCTTAAGAAATGTCTCTCTGAAGACATGCTAGTTGTACCTCTCGACGAAAAACAAATCGACACAAAACTTAATTTCGTTAAGGAACT